TTCAGCCGGGAGTCTGCTTAAGATTCTCTCTTTCTCTCCCTCTGCCCCTCCCCCCACTCTCTTTTTCTCAAATAAATATAAATCTTTTAAAAAAGAGAAAAAAACTGTTGCATTGCAGTTGGTTACTAAGGGGAGGACTTCAGATGGTGCCCAAATTCTAATCCAGGTAACTGAGATCTGAACACTTTGCATGTCATCACTGATTATTTTAATAGCAAAATGTGCAAGGTGCTATTTCAAAAATTAGTCCCATACTACATTTTTTGAGTAGTTTGAACTTGTTTCCTAAATTCTGCTGAAAATTAGTTTATATTTTGCAGCTGTTTTAGCATTATTTTATAGCTTTTTTTTTCCCTGTTGCTCCACATTTTGCTATTTTGAAACCTTCACTTTTCCATATGTCATGGATAATGGCCAATTGTGTTGCCTTCTGGTGGAAATAAAGATAAGAAGTAAACAGTTGCTTTCCTAACAAAAGACTTGATTACATCTGAGTTGATTTTACCATAGTATTTTCACTACGTACTGTTATTTTGTGTCACGTTGGGGACATTTTGTACTCCTGATTTTGATGACCTTTCACTCCGTTTTAATGGATGGCAATGTGATAATAGCCTACATTAAATTTCTAACTTTGGAAGACTTTGGCACAGTGGTTCCCAAACTGGCCACACATTGGAATCACCTGAAAAATACTGATGCCTGGGTCTTACCCGTCACCCATAGATTATGACTTAGTGGGTCTGTGGTACAGTCTTGGTATTGGGATACTTAAAACTTCCAAATAATTCTAATGTGCAACCATATTTAAAGAGGTACCACTTAGTTTAGAAGAAATATTCCCAAAAGCTAAGCCAGAGTGACTTAGTGAAAAATTAGAAATATTACAGTCAACATGAAGCTAAAACTCTTATTGGTAAAATCTACGTACTATGCTACTTCCAGGCAGTGGTGTGCTAGTAAGTAGGTTTCTTGGTTGTTTTTACGCTTATATAAATAATATTCTTAATAAATTTAGCTACATTGTGTGCAAATCAGTATCAACAGCTCTGAGATCTTGTGAATTCTCTTCATTTTGAGGTATAATAAAATGACCTATTTGAACATCATGTATGTTACTAGGTAAATAATAATAACAAAAGACATTTCTCTAATGCTTTTCCAATGCCAAGGACATTACATATTTTGTTTATCCCTCACAACTCCTTGAGGTATGTTCTATTATTATCCCCATTTTTACAATAAAGGAGCTGAGGGACACAGAGGTTACTTGCCCAATGACACACAGCTAGTAAGCAGCAAATTGGAATTTGAACTAGGCAGTCTCATTGCTCTTAGCCCCAATGTTCTTTCTTTCTCTCTCTCTCTTTTTTTTTTATTATGTTACATTAATTACCACCCCATGTTCTTTCAAAAAGAACTTTTGGTTCTATCAAGAAGAATTGAGAATCAAAATTATATTCTGAGATGATTTTTTAAATACTGCAGAACTCCAGCTCCCTCCCCGACTTCTGGTTGTTTGAAAATCTTTTTCAAATCTAGCAACATGTAGCACCTGCTGAAATGATCATTTTGTCTTTCTCATTATCAGTTTAGTTCCACTTTTCCTGTTACAAAAACAGAAACTGCCCATGACTTTTGTGTAATAGAGCAATTATGTTTATTGAGGAATACATTTTATTGCAAGTCGTATTACTACAACCTCTAAAAATAGCACCACAGTTTTAAAACTCTCCTTTTTTATGGGTTTATCTGGCTGGAGCCAAAAAATAAATAAATAAAAAACCACACCTCGGTTATCATGCCTCTCAGACACGTGTTGATTAAATGCCCAGGGGCAGAAAAGGACTTGCCAAGTATAGCTTTAAAAAATTTTTCTGTTGTTGTTTGGAAATAACTTTAAACTTGCAGAAAAGTTGCAAGAACCAAACTGTTACAAAGAAAAGACATACAGGTTCTAGTCAGGTTTGTCTTTTTTTACCCCCATTTGCTCTATCAGTTGCTCTCACTAATATATATTCACACACACAAATACACATAATTTTTTTCAGTTTTTTAAAGTAAATTGCATATATTATGGCCTATTACCTCCAAAAACTTCAGTGTGTATTTCCCAAGAATAAGGGTATTCTCTTGCATAATCCCAGTACACTTCTAACCTAATTTGTCATCTATATTTCAACCTCTTTTTTACTGGATTTAGTCATCACATATTTTGAACGTAATTTAATCTAGAAGATTTCCACAGAGCCTTTCTTTGTCTTCTGTGACGATGACATTTTTGAAGAATTCGATCAACACCACCCTCCTCTTTTTTGATAGAACATTCCTCATTTGGAATTTGTCTGATATCTCCCCATGATTAGATCCAGACAGGGATTCTGGACTGAAAAACTACATAAGTGATGTTCCTTGTCAGGGTATCACATTTGAAAACACATGTTCTTCTGCCCCTCTTTGGTGATGTGAGGGGTGATTACCCAGTCAAGGAGTTGCCCAATTTTTCACTGCATAGTTAAACTATTATTTCTCTTCATAACTAATGAGCAATCTGTGAAGAGATACTTTAAGACCAAACTAATATCCTTCTCCTAATCAAAATTTCCCTCTAGATTTAGCATCCACTGGCAGTTCTTGCCTGAACTACTGTGATAGTTGAAAAATGATGACTTTCCATTTCTAGCACTCCTGTCACATATACCGGTCAGCCCATGGCATTCTGCTATAAAGAAGACTCTTCTCTTTCTCTCTATTATCATTATGGATTCATGGGTCCTTATTTTTCCTTCAGTGGCTTATAAGTTATTATTTTTTTCTCAATTATTTTATTTTTCAAATTGTGTCAGTCTAAACCAAGGGGAACACCTCCAAGCTGGCCTCCATATTTTGGCATGCTTCTATTATTTTTTTAAACCCTTCCTTACTTTCTGGTATAACAAGATATTTCAGGCTCATTTTGTACCTACCTTGACCCCACATTAGAATTAGTTGTTTCTCCAAGGAACTCTCATTCCTTTTAGTGGGGAACGACATTGGACGCCAGTCTGGGCAGTAGGTGGACTCATTCCTACTGAGGTGTCATTGCTTCTAAGCTCTTTGGGCAGATAGATCTGGGAAATATATGGGTATATATACACATACACATAAATACATGTATATATACACACATAAATGAAGGCAGATATGCATACACGATTACATACCCATATGCACATATATGCACATGCCTTAGAAACCACAGATTTACATCTATTCCAATCCATTCTCACACGATTCTTTCTTGCTTCCCTCATTCCATATTTGTATGTTTCTCTTCCACAGTGAAAATCCTGGCCCCTAACAACATCAGCACGTTTGTCATTTGCTCAATCATACAATACATCTGAAAGAGTTTCATTATTACTTGGGCACAGTAGTCCCTATTCCTGCCTGTCAAAAATCAACTACACCCAGTAACTCAATGCCCAGTTATTTATCTGAAAGAAAGGAACTCATATGTCCACCAACAACCTTGTACAAGAATGTTTATAGCAGCTTTATTCAAAACATGTTTGGCCAAAATGTTTTGGCCAAAAATATTTGACCAAAAACTGGAAACAGTTCAACTGTCTTAAGAGAAGAATGGATAAGTGAACTGTGATATATTCATGCAATAGACTACTACTTAGCAATCAAAGAGCAAACTACTGCTGCATGCAACAATATGGACGAATTTCAAAACCACTATGCTGAGTTTAAAGGGACAAACAGAAAGAACACATAATGTATGACTCCATTTATATGAAATTCAAGAACCGGCAAAAATAATCTCTAATGGCACACTTTAGAGGTTTTCCAAGAAACAGACGTGTTTCTAATAGACAGGTGTGACCAAGGAGACAAAATAAAGGTTTGGCAAATGAGCTCTCTTCATTCTCTACCACTTTGGGACTTTGCACAAGTTATTCTATACTGTTTCCTCTTTTATAAAATGGGGATAATAATAGTATCTACCTGATAGGGTTGTTGTGTGAAATTATATTAAATATGGCAACATGGCATGAAAATTGGTAGAGAGTCAATGAGCTTGGCACACAGCACACATATGACATTCGGTAGCTGTTAGCATCAGTATAGGACCTGTGTTCATGCATTGCCCTATACAAGTATACTGCTGATCCCTCATTACTAACAACACTGAGGAAAGCAATACAGAAATATTCAGTAAGAAACCATCGGGTTTTCCATATTCTTTGACTTACTAATCCCTCTCCTGGAAAAAGTATTCAGCACAATCAGATATATACATGAAGGCAATTTTTGCCAAATAATCTGTGATAACTCCAAACTGGATATAACATAAAAATAGAACCGTTATATTATAGAATCATAATAAATTATGGTGTAGCACCTGTTGAAATGTGGAAGAATCTTTGTTAAAGTCACAAAAAGCAGAACGTCAAACAGTATGAGCACTGTGGTTGCAGATGAGTATGATATGTTCACATGTGCAAGTGATGGCTCATACCATGCAGAATGGGAGCAGTTGTTTTCCTCTCCAGGATTTAAAAAAATTTCCTGGTTGCCTTTTCATTTAAAAAATGTATACTTTTTTGAATTAAAAATAATATTATTTGTATAAAACCCTGCATATTAAAGAAAAGTGTGATGTAAAACCCAAATGGTAGAAACCAAATGACTACTTCATCTGGTGGAGGTGGGACAGGGCAGGACACGGACTGGGAAGAGGCATGAGAAAACTTTGTGGGAGTAAGGAAATGTACCATTATTTTGATCAGGATGTGAGTTATAGGGGTGTGTGCATTTGTCACAATGGCTTGAACTCTACCCTTGATATCTGTGCATTTCACTGTCCATAAATTACCCTTCAATTTAAAAAAAAAAATTGGCAGGAGTAGAGGCTGCCCTTTTAGCAGAAATAGAACTCTGATTTAAAACAGCTCCTTGTTTTAGTTTGTCTCACTTCTGATCTTCCTCCCCACCATGCTGGGGCTACTCAGATCAATACATTTACTTCCTTTTACTATCTAGTTACTTGCTTTACTATCATTTCGATATACAAAGTACAACATAGGTTAGAATTTCACAGGTAACTAAATGACATTACCAACTATTTAGGTCTGGCCAATATACATACTTTAATAGAGTAAGGAAATGCATACAAATTGAAAATGTTTAAACAACATTGAATTTTAGATTAATCCTCAGTTTAGGCCTTTACCTATTTGATCTATTAGGACAAAAGCAAAAACAAACAGATAAATTGCAGAGTAGTCGGGCTTTGCCAACAAAAACCGTTGATTTCCAACATCAAATGATCAAATATCACTTCAATGAGGAAGTAATTTTCTCAGACCTTCTCATAAATTCTGGTGCAGACCACGCCCTTCATTTTACATTCCTTAAGAAAAGAGAGAGATTCATTGAGTATCTAAAACTCAAACCAGGAACAGCAAATTTGCACGTAGCAACAGAAAATAAAAACAAGCTCATAAGATTAAGCTTAGAAAGGAGTAGAACATCAGTATGTCAGTCTCTGACAATTCGGAATTATGACCATTGAAATAGGAGAAACAGTTTTGAAGTCAATCTATGTTACTATGAAAGAATTTTCTTAAAGTGGCAAGTTTTTATGCATAATTTGTGTGCATTTAAATCTAAAAGTGGATTTCAAAACTATATGCATATTTGCATCATCTGAGGAGCATTTAAAAATACCGATGGTTCCTTCTCCCCCAAGAGATTTGCATTTATTTTTTAATTTTTTTAAAGATTTTATTTATTCATTTGAGCGAGAATGAGAGAGAGAGAGAGAGCACATGAGAGGGGGGAGGGTCAGAGGGAGAAGCGGACTCCCCGCTGAGCAGGGAGCCCGATGAGGGACTCGATTCCGGGACCCCAGGATCATGACCTGAGCCGAAGGCAGTCGCTCAACCAACTGAGCCACCCAGGTGCCCAAGAGATTTGCATTTAATTAATCTGTGTTGGGGGCCCCATATTGGTATTAACTCCCCATGAAAATCTGTTTTGTAGCTAGGGATAAGAACCTCTAAACTAAAGGAAAAAACATTTAAAATAACATGAATCTATATTCAATGTATGTATTAGTAACACAGAAGCTAAAACTTAAAAAAAAATCATTAGACGGCATCTCATGGAACCCTGCTCATCATTCATTATCTGCTGACTAAAAGGTCTCCTATGAGCTGAGCTTAAATTATTGACATGGTGTAGTCCAAGTTACTTTGGATTCTTGAAAGCAAAACACTTAGATATCTATAAATATTCTCTAATTGAGCCGTTCGGGGTTTGTTTTGCTTTTAAAACTTAGACTTGCTTTTCTCTTTGTGAGTCCAAATTGGTAAGATTTACCCATACTTTCTTTGACTTTGCTGTTATTTTTAGGTGTTTTTATTTCTAAAATAACAAATGGGCTTTGTTATTTCTAAAATCTTGGACCTATACTTAAAGTACTGTAGATGAGTCTTCATGGTTGAAATATCATCTAACCATTAGCTCTGACTTTATCCTTAGCCATTCTTATCCATTGGTATTGCAAAGAAAAAAAAATATTTTGAAAATAATATAACCAATTTCTCTATTTAAATACCATTATTTTTGTATTTAGAAGTGAAAATACTGGGAGCCTGGGTGGCTCAGTCGGTTAAGCGACTGCCTTCGGCTCAGGTCATGATCCCGGAGTCCCGGGATCGAGTCCCGCATCGGGCTCCCTGCTCAGCGGGGAGTCTGCTTCTCCCTCTGACCCTCCCCCCTCTCATGCTCAATATATCTCATTCTCTCTCTCTCAAATAAATAAATAAAATCTTTAAAAAAAAAAAAAAGAAGTGAAAATACTCTTACCACTACCATTTTCCCATCCACCAACTTTCTTTTTATAGTCGTCTCCTTGCCATCCCATTTCTGCACTTGATTCAATGAGCCTCTTGACAAGGTTACAATGCTCTGCAAAGACAAATTCACATAATCGAGTTGCTTGGACTTTGGTTGATTAAGGAAGCAGTTCATTCAGACGAGATCGGGCGCGTTCAGGGTGGTATGGCCGTAGACAGAAGCAGTTCATTCAGCATCGAATTGTTTTCATAATAGATGTCTCATGAAGCACATTCATTTTCTATTTCATTTCATTTCATTTCATTTCATTTATTTATTTTTAAAGTAGGCTCCACACCCAACGTGGGGCTCCAACTCACAATCCTGAGATCAAGCAAGGCTCCCCCAAGGCACATTCATTTTCTTTTTTTTTTTTTTAAAGATTTTATTTATTTATTTGAGAGAGAGAGCACACAAGCAGGGGGAGCAGCAGGCAGAGGGAGAAGCAGACTCCCCGCTGAGCAGGGAGCTCGATGTGGAACTCAGTCCCAGGACCCTGGGATCATGACCCGAGCCCAAGGCAGACACTTAACTGACTGAGCCACCCAGGTGCCCCAATTTTCAGTAGAATGGGGTAGTCTACCCTTATGAACACTAACAGAAATAATCCTCCCAAGCTGGAGAACGAGCCAACTTTGAAGAGAAATATTAAAATTTACCTTTGTTTTCCTGTTGTCAGCTGTGGTTTCTTCAAATTCCTGACCTAACTTAAAGGAGATCTCCGTATTTTTAAACGTACTTTCAGTTCTTATAGTTATAATATCTCCTTTCTTGCTGATGATCACACGGGGTTTGGCCAAATTTCCCAGTTTCCTGGTGGCTAACCCCACACCTGTAGATCAAGATAGTGTTAGAATTACGTTGACAAAGAGATGTACCTAGAGAGACTATGCATGTCCACATTCTATGCTCAGGTGTGGAAATCACAGGTAGTATCACTGACTACTGAGGACCTCCTCCCATGTTTCACCACCTAATGGAAATACATGTCCATCGGCTTAAATATTTTAAGTTTTATTATTACAAGAGTAATGTCTGCAGATTTTAAAGATAAATGTGTTTAGCCTAAATAGTGCAAGTCATCCCCTTTTACCACATCCAATCCCACAGTCTTTGAAAATCACCAGTGTTTTGTATGAATCATTCCAGACATTTTAGTTTTTACATATAAATATTCTAGGTATTTTTAAAATGCAACTATGACAGATACATACTCTTCTATGAATTTTTTCTCCTCAGTAATACATTATGTATATAGAAAAGAACTCTCCCCACATCCTTTTTTTTTTTTTTTAAGATTTTATTTATTTGACAGAGAGACACACAGTGAGAGAGGGAACACAAGCAGGGGGAGTGGGAGAGGGAGAAGCAGGCTTCCTGCGGACCAGGGAGCCTGACGCGGGGTTCGCTTCCAGGACCCTGGGATCATGACCTGAGCCAAAGGCAGACACCTAATGACTGAGCCACCCAGACTCACCTCCCCACATCCTTAATAGAATCATATTTCTGAAATTTTGTTGTGGCCCCTAAGTTTAACTGGTAGGGAAAATCTATCCATCTCCTTTCAAGATCTGTACCATTACACGTAATCATAAATAAACTAATTTTTTAAAATGTTCTCCATCTGAAAAACAAAACAAAATTAGACTCTCAAGTTTTATTACTATTATTACTAAAACTATAGAAATACAGGGAAAAGGAGAAATGTCAAATGAGAGCAATAAATGAAGGAAAAACTACTTTCATATAAATATATGAATATATATATTATATATAATCTCTGCAGTTGAGCCTGAGAATTTACACTATACCAAACCCCAAAGTGATCTTATGCATTCTAAATTTGAAAAATGACAGAATTAGGGAGTCCTTCATTGAGACTCTTGTATTTTGTTTCTTCCTCAACTGTAAAGACAAGTCCATAAATCTAACCAACCTCATAGTATGGATTTGTACCCATAAGTTCTCATAGTATTCTAGGCAATATGACATGATTTTGCTCATTTTACCTAAAAATACAACTCTTCTCATGAGCTTTCTGAACAGCTAAGTAAAGTTACAGGCCCTTTGTCAAGCATAGCAACCTGGGTCATTGGCATCACTTTCTATCCTACTTAAATAGCTCTGGAAATTTCCAAAGATACTTCATACCTGTTGTGCTCATATCATGCAACATTCTCTAGAAATAGTATAAAATAAAGTTGATGAAACTATTGACTGGATTTTCCGTCTTCATTCATGGCTCCAACTCCAGGGAAGTAGTGTGAACTTGTGGTTTAGCTAAACACCAAAATTTTAAATTGAGGCTTTCTATTAACTTCAGTATTTTCAACTCCTTATCTTATGAGCACTTCAGCTTTTATAAAATGAACCTTCAGGAAAGCCAGAGGATGGGTTGCCTAAGCCTCTAAGATTTCTTTCCTCTGAAAGCAAAGCCCTGCTGATACGAAACTACCTTTGAAATCAGTGGGAGTTCCACGCAATTAAGCAGCTCTTAGGTTAAAATCTATTAAAATTTCCACAAACAAAATGCAATAAACTATTGGAATGACACAACAGAAGTTTAATTGCAGAAAAGGATTGTACTTGAGCCTGTGCAAACTTCCCCAGAGTCCTGAAAAAGGAGTTAGAAGGAAATAGTCATGCAGCTTTCGCAAAAAAGGATCTTCCCAACCAGAGCTACAAGGAACGTTTCTTACCCAGAGCTTTCATGTAATCATCGAAGTGCTCACTGGAGACAAGTTTCCAGGTCCCCAGGAATTTGTTGCTCATTGTGATGGATGAGAATTCAACACAGCTCTAGGTGAGATTTAGGAGACTCAAATGAGATGCTAAAGCCTCAGAAGATCTTTTCAAAGATGTCCAAAGCATGTGACTCTCACAGAGACCCAATGGGGAAAAGCAGTGTCAGGACCGGGCAATGAATCACCCATTAGGACAAAAGAAAGCCCACATAATGTTTCTTTTAGTCTCCAAAAATTTTTATAAAGATGAGAGTACTATTTGAACCTTCAAAAAAATTTTTGGTCGATCTTACATTTTTAAGAAGTGCTTAGTCTTTAATGCTTTGGAAAAGACTCCATGAATTGAATCCTATACCAGACTAAATTATATGAGCATGAATGAGAGAGAGTGTGCGTGTGTGTGCGTGCGTGCACGCGCGCGTGCACGCGCGTTCAGGCATCTTGGTCACTCTCAATCCTGAGTCTGCACAATTAAGAATTCTTACTGAAAGAGAAGAAAGAGAGGAAAATGTCCATGAGTATTGTGATAACCGCCTCAAATATGTTGTGGGAGAGAAATGCAGGGAAGCAGTGTGAGGAAGTATTCATAGGTAAGGGAGGCTTGGCATAGTTCACATATCCCAGGCAGGCAGAGTAGGCAGACAATACGGTCAGTCTATTACAGCAGAGCACAGAAATCGTATTCATGGGACGGCTAAGAAGGAGCGCTAGAACACGATCTTTGGCCACAGCAAAGATTTTCATCTAAAAAAAAAAACAAAAAAAACCTTAAGTCCAAATTAAGCAGGTTCTTAGTTGATACAACAACTCTGAGTTTAAGCCCTTTAAAATAAATCTTCAGTTTTATAAAGAGAAAGATTTTCTATATAAATAATACTAATGTGTACTGAGAGCTCATTATGGGCCAGTCACCCTGCTAAGTGCTTATTACAGATTATTTCATTTAATTCTCTCAACACCTCCAAGAGTTAAGTACTATTATTACATCCATTTACCAATGAGAAAGGTAACTTGCTCCCAAAACTTGAATGAGGAGAGGCAAGGTTTGAACCTGGCATTGTTCTCCAGCCCAGACTTGGGGCCATTATCTTACCCTATTCCCTTTATATCACATGGGCACAGTGGCCTTGGCCAAAGGTCAGGTGATACTGACATCACCATGTGACTAAATAGAGATAGTCCTTTCTGGCCCCAGATCAAGAGCAGTGAAAGTCAAGAGAAGAAGCATCCAGGCTACAAGTATAGCAGAGCCGCAGTCTTTGACCAGGGGGAGCAGACATAAAACCACTTCAAATATAAGTGTTGCTCTTGGGAATACCTTCTTGCCGCCATACCTTTTCCTAGTGGTTTTCTATATTGGCATCAGTCCTGACTATGAGACAAGCGATATTACTAGGTTGTAAATATTTGTACACAGGTTGGCAGTCTTCACAACAATGGAGTATTTTCCCACGATCATAACAGGTAGAATTGCTGGCTTTCTAGGCTCAGGTTACCAATGTCATAGCTGAGCCATAACCATTGCATTTATGTCCTTAGGGTCCAAGTTGGGTCAAAATATGGAATCATATACCATGAGTCCGAGTCTCACCTTACATTACTTGTGCATGGATAACTCAAAGTGGGAATGAAACAGTGACTAGAAAAATTCCTCTGCTAATCTGCTAACCCAGTCCTAGACCCAAGAGAACATAACTGGAGGAAGGACATTGTACAGGGATAGAAGAAAAAGCTATTAAAAAAGGGGGCTTTGGATTAGAGAATGTACTATTTTCTTTTTTTTAAGATTTTATTTATTTATTTGTTTATTTGAAAGAGAGAGTGAGTGGGAGGGAGAGGGAGAGAGAATCTGAAGCAGACTCCACGCTGAGCACAGAGCCTGACCCGGGGCTCAATCCCACAACTGTGAGATCATGACCTGACCCATGACCTGAGCCAAAACCAAGTCAGTTGCTTAGCTGACTGAGGCACCCAGGTGCCCCAAGAATGTGTTATTTTCTTATCCAAAACCCTTAATAAAAATAAATGATGATATCACTTGTGTCCTCAAAAATATTTTTTGTGACCAAACTTTATTGAGAAGTGTAGCATTCAACACTTAGGTGTTTTGCCTAAATTTGTGAAGGACTCTTAAACCACCCAACTTGAGCTGAGCCCTTGTATTCAGAGAGACTGATATAGGAGAGCTGTATGAATTTTTAGCAGTCCCTGTATTGCACATAGGAATAGCTGTAGAGTTAAAATATAAACATTGAGCTATGTATTGGCAGGGCTTATAACTTTGAAGCAATTTTAAATAAAGAAAAGAAGTTTCTATTTTAGCTTATCAGCAATGTATCTGACTGCTGGAATGAACCAGATGTATTCAGCCAAAGATAAAATTCTGAGGCTCACATGTGAGTCAAAGGCACAGATCAAAGCAAAGAGCAAAGATCCAGACTGAACCAGGCTTGAGACATTAAGTCACTCCTAGCTAAGAAATTCATCAATATCCTAGTGAAAAACAGTGGATAATAAACACCAGAACCATATTATAACTAGATACATATATTTAGACTTGAACTAAATATTTGTAAAATGGATATACAATAGTCTGTTTACAATATGGATTCACTTTTCATAGATTTATTGCCTACGTAAATTCTCATGATAAGGGGAGCTACTTGAATCATACAATGAAAAGAACACCCAGAGGTCCAAACAAAATAAAGAAAGCTTGCTATATATAACATGTCATGTAAATATTCCTCACATATTATCTTCAAGCTACATCCAGTTATATATTTGAAAAAGTGATAGCCAACCACCCTATAGTAAATGAACAAAGACTTCATGATCATCCACTTGAGTGCTGAAGATCTGATTCCATTCCTTTCATTCATTTAATTGCAAAAATATTGAGAGCCTACTAAGTGCTAGGCACTGTTCAGGGTTAAACATCATTGAACAGAATTCCATACCCTTTTGGAACTTACTTTCTCTATTAAAATTATTATATTTGTAAAATAGAAATACTGCGATCATAAATGGTGGCATGAAATAATGTGTCACTATAAATAAAATGGTCATTTTTAAAAAAATAACTGAATAAACAAAAATGGACTTTAGAATTTTTACTTCCTTATGATAGATGAGGAAATCAAGCTAACTTTCCAACTACGACATCTTAGAAAAAATAGATGTTTTTTTTTTTAATTTTTCGAGGTATCAGAGAGATAAAAAGGCAGAGAAAAATTAAGCGTCTAGGGCGCCTGGGTGGCTCAGTTGGTTAAGCGACTGCCTTCGGCTCAGGTCATGATCCTGGAGTCCCGGGATCGAGTCCCACATCGGGCTTTCTGCTCAGCAGAGAGTCTGCTTCTCCCTCTGACCCTCTTTCCCTCTCGTGCTTTCTATCTCTCATTCTCTCTCTCTCTCTCAAATAAATAATAAATAAAATCTTTAAAAAAAAAAAAATTAAGCGTCTAGGATTTGGGTGAAAAAGGCAAGGCCAGAGAAACAGTCCCAATATTTGGGGCTGCTGTGGCTCTAGGCATTTATGAATTCTGCAAAAGGCAGATGAGAGGCAAAAGTCTGAGGAACGTTTATGACCATGTTACAAGGTTTAGGGGAACAATGAGGGAGAATTCCTGGTTAATCACCACGATTTGGTTTGGGACTTTGAAAGGTCGCAGCATAGGGAAAAAGGTGAATTAAATGGGCCCATGCTAATATCAATTCAGTTCTTAAAATTAGTTCAGTGTGATCTGGACAGCCAGTGAACGTAGCTACCAGTCAGAAACAAACTCTCTCTGAAAGAAGATAATGTCACCATAAATCTAAATTATTCCCACAACTTTTCATGTACATTGTTAATCAGAAATAAGTAGAGGGGCACCTGGGTGGCTCAGTCGGTTAAGCATCAGACTCTTGATTTTGGCTCAGGTCATGATCTCGGGGTCCTGGGATTGAGACCCACATGGGGCTCTGTGATCAGCATGGAGTCTGCTGGAGATTATCTCCCTCTCCCGCTGATGATCCCCCTGTTTGTGCATGCTCTGTCTCTCTCAAATAAATGAAATCTTAAATAAGTAAATAGAGCAAAGAGATAGGAAAATATGCTCAAAAAGCAAAAGAAACAGGAGTCCACAAAACTAGATGATCAACAGAGCAGATATTAATAAAAACAAGCATGTTATAGAAAATATCATCAGAACCAACAGTTTTTTTAAAGACTAATAAAATTGAGGGGCACCTGGGTGGCTCAGTCAGTGAAGCATCCAACTGTTGGTTTCAGCTCAAGTCATGACCTCAGGGTCGTGAAAGCGAGCTCCGCATTGGGCTCCCTGCTCTGCAGTGAGTCCGCTTGGGATCCTCTCTCTCCCTCTGCACGCCCCCCACCTGCTTTCACACTTGCACGTGCTCTCTCCCTCTCTCTCAATAAATAAATAAAATCTTTTAAAAAGAAAAAGACTGAGAAAATTGGCAAACTTTTAGCAAGATGGACTTAAAAAGAAAGAAGGCAAAAGTTATTGATTGCAGGAATAAAAAAGGACATATCCATATATCCTAGTCATTAAAAATTATAGTTACATAACTTACAGTAGTTAAAAAGATCATAAGAAAATAATATGAACTACTTCATGCCAATAAATTTTCAGATTTAAAAGCAATTTTATAAATTCCTTAGAAAACACAATTTACCAAAAATAATACAAGAAGTAAAAATGTGATTACTCCCAAATCCATTATTATTGAATCTATAATTAAAATTTCTCTCACGAAGATACTCCAGGCCCATAAGCTTCACCAATGAATTCTTACAAATATTGACAGAAAAAATAACACCAATTTTACACAAAATCTCCCAGAGAACAGAAAAGAAAGTACTAATTTCCAACTTGCTTCTACCAGGGTCTTTGCACATGCTCGTCTCCTTTCCTGGAATGTCTAACCACTCCCATATGGTTAATCCTTAAACCTCAGCTCAGTCATACTTGCCTACCTTTGGGTTGGCATCCTTTAGATTTCAACTCAATCATCTTTCTTAACCTTTTTCTAGTATAATATCATTGAACAGTTACTGCAATGGCAATTTTTATTAA